TCTCTCTCTCTCTCTCTCTCTCTCTCTCTCTCTCTCTCTCTCTCTCTCTCTCTCTCCCTCTCTCTCTCTCTCTCTCTCTCTCTCTCTGTGTGTGTCCAGTACTAACCTGTGATGCAGGTACCTCGAAGAAGTTGGCGCCTTGATGCAGGTACCTCGAAGATGGAGCTGGAGCTATGGCGCCACAGGTAAGTACCGCTGGCCTCCGCCAGCCATCTCCCTCCAATGCTACTACTACCACCTACTAGCACCCAGCGCTGAAGACTACACCTACAGCTATGGGCGCCCAGCACTGAAGACTACTGCTAGCGCTGAATACTACTGCAGCACTCCTCCTGAGTGCTGCGGCCGAATCCTGAAGACTACTCGTGCCTACTGTCCAACTACCTCCGTGAAGTGCATGGGAAAGTCCTATGTACTACTCGGCCTACCTCCTGACTGCAGGGCGAGGCAGTCCAGGAGGCTGCTCTTGCCAATGCCGCAGGGAGTCAGGAGCTGCCGCTGCAGCTCCTGCTTGAGGCAGTCGTGGGAACAGGCTAAAGATAGCCTGTTCCGAGAACCCTGTTTTTGTGCCTGAGTCTTAGGGTCGATCGAAACAATGAGGGCCTGAAAATGGCCCTCCGTTTCAGCCTGAAAAGCCTCTGGGCCTGAAAGGCCCAGAAATAGGCTGAAAACGGAATAGAGCCTGCAGGCCCTCGTTTTTCAGTTTCAGGCTGAAACGACCGGGGCCTGTAAGCCCTATTTTCTAGGGTTTTAGGCTGAAAGTGCGGGATGGACCTTGCAGGGCCCGTGTGGCTACGCAGTATGCCACACCCCCCCCTCCTTGAAAGATCGAGCTTACCTGCGAGGGCGAAGCTGTCTGTCTGAGGGAGGGACCACTGTCCGGGTGGGAGGGGCCGGTCGTGAAGCTTCCTGAGCTAACCTTTGCTTCTCATAATGTGCGTAGATCAGCGGTGCGAATGCTTTCAAATCTGCTCCTGAAATCCACCGAGTGTCGTCGCGATCCCAGGCTTTGAATGTAACTTTGTAATGTCGCGGCTTGCTGCCGTACTTGCGATCGGTGATGACGCGGTCAACTTCGTGATGACCATCCATAGAAGGAGGGTCCTACGATCGTCGGCCCGGAAAGTCGTCGCTCTTAGCTGGCGTGTATGTTGCCAGCTTTGAGGCGTGAAAGACTGGACGGACCGTCAGATGCGGGGGGATGTTGATCACAAATGAAGGGCCATCGGGCTCATCGCCCGCGGCTGCGGTCCAGACCAAGGTCCAAACCACTTGGGAAGCAGTTTGCGTGAAACATCCTGTTCCAGTGCAAACTCTTCCGCGGAAACCCAAACCAGGTCGCCGGCGCGGATGGGACATGGCACCCGATGCCTGTTGGCTTGCTGCTGCATGCGGACTTGAGCCTTTTGCATATTCGTGCGCGCTTGAGCCAGCAATTCCCTGTACTTCCGGACGGAAGCGGGAGAGCAAGCGGCATCGATGTCGGCTGGTCGTGGGAGGAGAAGGTCGGCGAAGATACGGCCTTTCCGTCCACCGTGGTGCAACTCGAATGGAGTCACGCCGATCGCCGAGTGCACCGTTGTAGGCGAACTCGATGTCGGGGAGGCGGTCAACCCAATCTTTCTGGTCCGGACGGATGAGCGCCTCCCGCGAAACTCAGTTTCCCGAGTTGAGACGAGGCCGCACATCCTCCTTGGCCTGATCCTGGCAAAGGGAGGTCTTGTGCTTGGTGTTGTTGCACCAGTAACAGCAGCCGTAACGGCCGCGGTACTTGTACTCGGCCTCGGTCAAGCCGAACTTGACCCATGGTGGTGCAGGCTGTCCATTTCCGGTCGGCGATGCTGATTTCGCCTTCCCGTTTCCTCAGGACTTGATGTTGCTTCGCGGCTGGACAGCAGCCACCTGATCTCCCTCACGTGACGCTTGGGTGGCTGCCGGATCTTCCACAGTGTTGTCCGATTGGACTGCAGCGAACTGCTGCTGTCGCGGACCAGTTTTCACGTTCTCCACATAGGTCAACTGCCATGTTGACCTCTCGTGTGCAGCCGACCTATTGGTCTTGATGATCTCTCTCGCCTTGTCAATAATCTCGGCGAAAGTTGCATACTGCTCGCGATCACCAAGTGCCTGGCTCAATGCAGCGCATGACCTGTTGTAGAACTCACGGCGCAGATGCGGAAATGGTAAGTCAAGATCGGGCGTTGCCGCGATCTTCTGCCATTCCGTGAGCCAGTCACGTGTGGCTATGTTGCCTTGAGTCATGGTGAAGAGACGGTTGATGGCGAGTGCTGGTGCGTCGTCGACGATGAACCGCTTCTTCCACAACCGTGTTAACTCTTCCCATGTGATCTTGTCTCTCAGATCTGCGACGTCGACGCCGTGGGTGGCTGCCAGGTGGGTTAACCAGATCTGGCATCCGCCCTTTGAGTTCATGAACAGGGCGCCGATGTACGCGTGCTTGGCGACAGACAGAATCCGAAGTTGCGTCGTGAAAGCTTCCCACCAGAGCACCGGGTCCTGATGCGTGTAGTCGTCGAACTTCTCAAGTTGAAAGTTGGCATCTTGTATTGCTTTGGATTGTTGCCATCCGTGTTCGTCGACTGCAGTTGTTGGACCTCGGTCTTCAAAGTATCCAGTTGATTACTGATGGTGGTCGGCGTTGCGAAGGTGCTGATGTCGCCGAGCATTGCAACGACGTGGTCGACGCGTTGCTCCAGTTGGCTGTTAGAGGGTGCACTGCTGGACTCACCACCATCTGGTCCTGGTACGGCTTGCTCCAGGTCCAGTACACGGGAATTGAGTGCCCGTGTAGCATCCTCGTGGTTCTACACTATCCGGCGGAGGTTCGCCAACTCCTGGTGCTGTGTCTTCAGATCCTGGTATTGTTGCTGCAGTTCCTGGTTCTGTCTCTCTAACTCGGACTGTTGGTAGTTGCAAGCGTACAACAACCGTGTCATGAGTTTGGAAAGGAATTCCTTATGCGGCTCTTCCGGTGTCGCGTCGTCGCCATTGGACGGTTGAAAGTGCCTGAACTTGAGTCTTTCGATGCTGGCAGCTTCATGCCGCCGCAGCAGATCCTGGGCTTCCTTGCGGCGTGCCTGGGCATCTGCGTCTGCTTCGGCCTGTAGCCGCTGCTTTTCAGCTGTTGCCGCTGCTTCAGCCTGTAGGCGGGCAGCCTCGGCTGCCGGCTGGCGCTGTTCCTCAGCCTCGATCAAAGCAAGCTGATCCTGGAACCGCTGTTTGTAGTCGGCAAGAGACTCGTTGGCCAGTTGGCCTGGCATGCCCAGAGCTGCGCCCGTCATGGTGGCGGGGCAAGCTGACGTGACACTGTTGCTTACGTGGCACTGCTGACGTGGCACTGCTGACGTGGCACTGTTGCTGACGTGGCACTGTTGCTGACGTGGCACTGTTGCTGACGCGGCACTGCTGGCGTGGCACTGCTGATGTGGCACTGCTGACGTGGCACTGTTGCTGATGTGGCACTGCAAACATGGCACTGTTGCTGATGTGGCACTGCTGACATGGCACTGTACCAACTCGGAAATGCATGCAAAGGGTGGGTGGGGAGGGAAAACGCAGGTAGGGAACCAACCCAACAATACTTTCCTTCCGGCCCTAATCAA